CATAAGTTGCTACACTGATATCTGAAGAAAACCCTTGAAAATAATGATCAAATGGAGGAAGACTGAATTCACCACTTTGGAATCAAATTAAGAATGAATCAACATTTTTTCATTCATAAGAACATCATTTGCATAAAAGAAAATGCATTACGTTGATGCATTTGATTGCATTTACATAAACACATATTCATAGGAAAAAAGAAGATTCATTATGACAAAATACCTTACAAGTATAAGGTATAATTTAAATCACAAATGCAGGAATCATGTTAGGAGAGGCAAACATCAAAAGAATAGATTGACGCAATCCATAGAGGAAGCATTATTTTTTGGGCATGTTGCCCAACCAACAAGTTCTTTCGAAAAATGAGAAAACGATTTTCAAAGTTTATCATTTAATCTTTTTTGAAAATGAAATTTTTGAAAAGGAAGAAGTTTCTTACCCAGTAAATTATTTCCCACAAATTTGTAAATCCTTCGGGTCATCTGCCAGTCTTTCAAGCATGATGTTTAAATCCTTATGGTCATCTGTCAGTCTTTGGAGCAGGATGATAAGTCCTTAGGGCCATCCGTTAGACCTCATGGTAGTATGTTTTCGCATGAAAATAAGAAAGCGATTACAAAATTTTCTCATTTAATGTTCAAGAAAATTAAATCCGTCGGGTCATCTTTAAAACCTCAGGGTAGGATGTTTTCGCATGAAAATGAGAAAACGATTACAAAAGTTTCTCATTTAATGTTCAAGAAAATTAAATCCTTCGGGTCATCTGTAAAACCTCAGGGTATGATGTTTTCTTATTAAAGTGAGAAAGTGATTACCAAAGTTTCTCATTTAATGTTCAAGAAAATTAAATCCTCTGGGCCATCTGTAAAACCTCATGGTAGGATGTTTTCGCATGAACATGAGAAAGCGATTACCAAAGTTTCTCATTTAATGTTCAAGAAAATTAAATCCTTTGGGTCATATGTAAAACCTCAGAGTATGATTTTTTATTTCCTAATAAAAATAAGTCAGCAGGACAAAAATTTCTTGTCTTTTTGTCTTTGCTCTATTCTTGTTAACACAAAAATAAGCAAAGAATGGCAGCTGTCGACAGTCATTTTCGTCCTAGTCTATATAATAATATTATATAATATTATTATTATATTACTATTATTATATATTATTATTATTATCAAATAATAATATTACAAGCCCAAATCAATAAATCAGGGCCCAAATACAAAATAACCAGAGGCTCATTTACAAGAGTTGACCCAAGAAGAAAATGCAGACCCGAAAACCCAACAAGATCCGACCCGGAGGCCCAGATAACTCAATAGGTCCAAAACCCATTTAGGGTTTCCATATTTCTCCAGCGCCACCACTCTTCCATAACCGTCCGATCAAAAGAGATCCTATGGCCCAGATATAGCCAGTAGAAGCCCTAGGGTATCATTAACACCCTAGGGCTATTCCGATCGCCGCCTCCCACTACTCCAACTAGTCGCTGCCACGACGCTACCGCTTCAAATAGAAGAATCCAAAATAATAATAACAACCGTACACCTCACTACCTTATGGTGAGTCACTATCGTAGATCCGATGAGTCACCGAGTAGATTCATTATTATAAACGGAGTCTGAGACCTATAAAAGGCCATTCATCCTGAAATGAGAGAATGACAGAGCAGACAACAAGAACAGAGGGAAACGAAAGAGCAAAAAACATAAAACAACCATCAACAAATAAACGAGAGATAGTATCCAAGAGAGAAAAAGAAAAAGAGAAGATTTTACCTTCATCGAAGCCCACGCGCCATCGGAAATTGTCAGATTTTGAAGGTAAAACTACATATCTAGTCCAATTGACTAGTTTTTAGTATAAGAGAAGCTCAGATTCAGGTAGAGGGTGTTCCAATCTATGTTTTGGGTTGTTTATATATTTTCAGCCACTGTGGACGGTGGCTGGCGGTGGCTATTGGCGGCAGAAAACGATTGTCAGTCGGTGGCTGGTTTCCCTCCAGTGAAGGAAACCTAGAGAGAAGGGAGAGCTTCTCTCTCTAAGAGAGAGAAACAAAGAGAGAAAATGAAGGCCTTAGACCGAATTCGACCTATTTATACCCCTCCCTGAACGACTTTGTTTTGGAGAGGGGCTACATGTAAATTCGAGCATGGGTAAATTATACACGGGGTCCCTTTAACTTTGTGATCTTCCAATTTAATCACTGAAAGCATGTTTATGTGTATCCTAATTCGATTCTCAAATTTTATTTGTTTTTATTTTAGCCATTATTCGTATGTATGTATATTTAGGGTAAAATATTCATTTTAGTCCCTTAGATTTTAATAAGTTATATTTTAATCCGAAAAATTTTAAAGGTTAAATAACATTGTTAATACCTACATTTCATGATATTTTTAATTATGACCATTAATTTAGTTACTTTGCAATTTAATCCTTGATCTTAAATATTTTATAATATTGAGTAAACATAGGATTATTTACATTTCTAGTATTTAACATATTAGGTATTAGTAGTAATAATCTAGATATTTTATTTTTATTTCCATAATCTAATAATTAAAATCAAATGCAAATTTATTAGTTTACTGCAAAGACAATTAATTAATAAACATATGTACCAATTTTGGGCATTGTGGGGGTGTTAATCATTCACCACACGTAACCGACTCCCGAACTCATTTTCTGGTAAGCAAACTCTTGTTATGTTATTTTAATATTATTTTATTAAAATAACATATCATTTTGGTGACCAATCATACCTCGACAAAGGATTGGTGACGACTCTTCAAATTAGTGTTTTATCTTATGCTAGAAGATAAACACTTATATTTTTCGAGACAATGACACTTGTGTGTACACTTTGTTTTTCGCCGGGCAAATACCATCTCGACAGGGAGTTTTCAACTTTTTCTAACAACAAGAAAATTATCTCAAATATTTTACAAAGAGATTTCAACAACTCCTTAGGATAGACAACTTCTTTCGTTTTCTCTATTTAAGAGTATACTCAATGGCTACAAATCATCCTTTTAGTAGCACTAATGTCTACCACTTTTTCATTCATAATATTCAATATATTAGCCTTAAAGAAACCATCACATATTTTATTTACTATGACTAAATTCGGTATTCCACTCAACCAAATTAATCTCTACTCTTTTAACTTTTATACTAAGTTTTAAGAATTTTTAACTTGTCATGGTATTTTATAAAATTAGAATAGTGAGCATAATAACGAACAGTGCACCTTGTAGGTTTCTATGAAAGAAAGGTGGCACATTAGGCATGCTTAAATACCAGGTCTTCATAGAACCAATCCTAGACATGTACTTTCATATTCATCACTCTACTTTCCAATAAATCATTTATGGATTTTCTCTTTATTAAGGCATCTTAAATAATTATGCTTGATGCTTTTACTCACAATAGTATATTAAGCATATACATTTTGGGCTCACTACTGCCTTAGCCTTAGTCTTAGTCCTTATACTAGTGGCTTATCTTAATCCATAAAATATCAACTAAGTTTTGTAAAGACTAATTTAACATACTCGTTTATTCATGTATTTAAAAAGCATGAATTAACAAAAAACAAGTCTAAATAATCTGTCATCGCAGGTAGAATCATAATTACCAAATAGACTTGTTCATTCTCACCATGCTCGCAACTTCAATCTTTGCATCATCATCTTCAACCAAAAAGGCCCAAAAACTAACATGACAATCACTTCAATTGAATTAACATCTCTCTTGAATATGTTAATTCTGCACCAAAATGAAAATTTTACAATGTTAATCTAAAAAATGATTTACTATCAATAATAGATAATTAATAGTAATAAATTCTTATCTTCAATATCTCGTGTCATTGATTTCACATCTCTTCTCCAAGTTAATCATCTCGTACTTTGACAAAATTATTTCTCAAAAACAAATCAACTTTTACAATAACACTATCAAACACTCAATAATATATGATAATCATAGATTTTCATGTAATAAAATTTCTATTCACCAATAAGTGTGGTATTTAGACTAATGACTAACTTTCCAAAATTAACATTATCATAAATAGTCATTAGGCTAACAATAAATAGCGTCTTTGTCATGTAAGAATCCAGTTTGCACGCCAACAATCTTGGTGCATTAAAATGGTCAAATAAATTGAACCAAAATTTATTCATACAACTTTTAAAACGTTATGACATGAACATAAGAAATAATATTATAAACTAAAACAAGCTCCTGAATGTTTGAATATTTCAATATTAAAAAAATCCTTATAAGGTAACCTATTTAGTGCTTTAAAACTTGGCTAAAAGCATTGAACTTTGCTTTTAAAAACCATATCATATTTAAAGCCATAAATTACTAATATCTTTTAAAAATCTTTTAATGAAACGTTTCATTATTCATGGCTCTCCATTAATTCCATGTTTAAATAAAACGTTACTTAAAAAATAGTAGAGAAATAAGTTACACCAAACAACATAAAATAATATATTCATGAATTTCAATCACACTTACCTTTAAAAATTCTCATGAATGTTATCGTTTCGTTATAGCATTGACAGTTACAAGGCAAAGTAAGCTAAGAAGAACGAGAAGAGAATGAGAAGCAAGATTGTAGAACTTGATTCATTTCATAAGATCATGATTCTCTCAATCGTAGAGAGATACATTTATACATCATATAAGAGCAATTCTAGAAGCTCTAACAGTTACAACAACCTTAACCGACTCTAACAAATCTAACTATGAGAAGCCAGCTAAGCAATTGTACACACTAACATTCCCCCTACTATAAAACCCTCATTGTTTAAGACCACCAATTTACGTGAAACTGAGGTGTACCCAACATCATGCTTCTACACTCCCCCTACTGCAGACTCCTCCTAATCTAAACACTAACTCCACGTGAGAACCCGAAGTGCGTGCAAACTCATACACTAACACTCCGCGTACTGTAACCTCAACCTCGCTCAGGCTTAATTCACTCTTCAACCTGCGAGTCCACAAATTTATCTAGAATTTGAGACACAAATAGTCGTTGTCTATGTTTGAGAAACATATGAGCAGACAATGACTTAGTTAAAACATCAGCCACTTGCTCAAAAGCATGAACCTCCCGAACAGAGAGTTTTCCAGCAGCCACAATCTCCCTAACAAAGAACAAATCAAGCTCAACATGCTTAAACTTTAAATGGAGTATTGGATTTGCACATACTGCAACAGCACTAGAATTGTCACACCATAAAACAAACTTGCCATGAACGGTCACACGTAGTTCACTTAAGAGTGACTCAAGCCACGCAATCTCAGCAGCAGCACATGCAACACTCCTATACTCAGCCTCTGCAGTGGAGCGAGGAACCACGTGCTGCTTGTGTGAGCCCCAGGAAACTAAGTTTCCAGCAAAATAGATGCAATAGCCCGAGGTCGAACGTCTGTCATCTGCATCGAACCCCCAGTTTGTATCAGCAAACCCTGTCAAGGACAAGCGAGACGATGCTGCAAATCGAAGACCAAAGTCGACAGTGGCATGTAAGTACTTTAGTATGCGCTTCACTGACTGAAGGTGGACATCACATGAAAATTGCATACACTGGCACACCCTATTCACTGTAAAGGCAATGTCTAGATGGGTGATAACAACGTACTGTAGTGCACCAACAACACTCTGATAGTGCATAGCATCTTTAAACAGTGTCCCATTGTCAATAGTCAACTTGTAGCTAGTAGCCATAGGCGTGGGAAGTCCTTTAGCATCTTCCAAACCACTCTTACACAAAATATCTCGTATGTACTTTTGCTAACTTAGAATAATTTCATCACCTGATCAACACACCTCAATTCCTAAACAAAATTCAAACACCCTAGATCCTTTAAAGCAGACTGACTATTAAGCTTGTTAATCACCTCCTGAACTTATTCTTCACAACTTCCAGTCATAATGATGTCATCTACATACACAAACAAGTATATGATATTACCAGCAGTCTCCTTAACAAACAGTGAAGCATCGGACCTTGACAGTATAAATCGTTGATTCTCCAAATACTCTTTGAGTTTCTCGAACCATGCTCGAGGAGTCTGCTTCAGGCCATAAATGGTTTTGTTGAGTTTACAGACCAAGCTACCATCACCCTGCTCATAGCCTGGCGGTTGCACCATATATAGCTCCTCATCTAAGACTCCATTCAAAAAGGCGTTGTTGACATCAACTTGCTTTAGCGACCATTCTTTCGATAATGCAAGGGATAGAACGACATGTACAGTTACTGGCTTGACCAAAGGGCTAAAAACTTCATGATAGTCAATCCCAGGCTGCTGCAAAAAACCCTTGGCCATAAGTCGGGCTTTGTCCTTGCTATAGACCTATCAACATTTCTTTTGATTTTAAAAATCCACTTGCAACTTACTGGTTTCCTACTACTCGGCAGCAAAACAAGCGTCCACGTGTTGTTCTTCACTAGTGCATCGTATTCGGATTGAGCTGCTGCCTTCCATTCTGAGCTTTTCATGACTTCTCGAATGGTCTGTGGTTTTTTATCTGAACAAGCTACTTGAAAAAAAAAATTGTTTCCGAATTCCACACTTGCTTCGGGTTACCATAGGATGAACATTGCATTGTTCTTCATTATATTGTACTATAGTAGGTTGTGATTCTTCACAGAATCCTAACTCATTTTCGTTCAGATTAGTTGATGCACTAGACACAGGCTCTCCTGGATCGACTTCCTCAGCAGGTGTTATTAAGCCATTACCTGCACATACAATGTCCTCTATAGCACCAACTACGTGTGGTTCATTAGCCACATATGTGTCAGGGTTCTATGTATAGGCACAAGTTGAATTTGGTGTTTCTCTTGCAATCTGACTTGGCTCTCAGATTGACTGTATTACAGGTAGAACATTAACCGATGAATCACGAATTCGATCAAATGTCTTTCCCTCAGAATAAGGGAATACTTCTTCATCGAATACAATATGTTGTGAGATAAAAAGCCTCCCATTTTCATCTAAACACTTGTACCATTTGTATGAAGGGCTATAACCAAGAAACACACATTGTTTTGACCTGAATTCCAACTTGTTCTGATTAAATGGTCTCAAAAGAGGGAAACATGTACAACCAAAGACTCTTAGCATGGAATAATCATGAGCTTGTTGATAAAGGACCTCAAAAGGTGACTTTCCATTCAATACTTCTGTTGGCAACCGATTTATTAAGTGTACTGCTGATACAAAGGCATGACTCCAGAACTTCAAGGGTAGTGCAACCTCGGCTAGCAAAGATAAACCCATTTCAACAATGTGTCTGTTCTTCCTTTCTGCTTTCCCATTCTGTTCAGAGGTACTCATACACGAGACCCTTTGTTGAACACCATTTGCAAGAAACCAACCTTTGAGAGCTTGATACTCTCCACCTCCATCTGTCTGTAAAATTTTGACTTTAGAATCAAATTGAACTTCAACCATCTTAAAGAAGTTAAGAAAATACTGCATAACCTCAAACTTTATTTTAAGTAGATAAATCCAAGTGTGCCTACTATAAACATCTATGAAAGAAACATGGTATGCAAAGCCATCAGCATAAATAATTGGCGTTGGACCCTAAACATCTGAGACAACCAACTAAAACGGTTTATTGTATTCAGTCAAAGATATACAAAATTGTAGTTTATGATCTTTGCTTTGTAAGCATGTTGTACAAACACGAGACAACTTATTTTCATTAGACACAATATTACACGCTTTCATTACAGCTCGAACAGCTGCTATCGAGAAATGGCCAAGATGTTTGTGCCACAAATCCAGTGAGCTGGACGCTTTCAAGACATGATTCGACTGCCAGTTTGAGTCTTTCGTAGTGGGTGGCAACAACTGATATAACCCGTCATGTGTAAGCCTCCCTTTCAACAGAACCTCCCGAGTCGTGTGCCCTTCACAAAGAACTCAAAAGGGTGAAATTCGATAAATACCTTGTTGTCACGAGTGAATTGTGATACAGACAACAAATTCTTCTTTATACTCGGCACATGGAGGATATTTTGTAATAAAAAGGGTTTTGAGTTACTTAGTAAACAAGTTTTTCCTATTTGGGTGATCTTAACACCCTCTCCATTTCCCATAAGCAGTGTATTTTTACCTATGTAAGCAGCACCCGAGTCAAAAAGAGATAGATCATTGGTGACATGATGTGTTGCTCCCATGTCAGGATACCAAGCCGTATCAGCAGTGTTGGTTGAGACATTGCCAGACGGTACTGTGGAGACAAACGTTGTGGGTGAGGAAGGCATTGAAGGGCCAAATAGATTCTTCTTAGAACCAAGTGACGAATCACTAGAAACTGCACTCATGGGAAGCATTGTCATCGGATACGGGACTTGGGAAGTGTACAAATAGCCACCTTGATAGTAAGGCACTGACCCAAAAGACTGCATTCCAGGAAAAACTGAGTTAGCAATAGAATAATAGAAGAACATAGGGGACTGAGCAAAACCAGGACTCATCAAGTATCCATATGCCTACATGTTAACCGTAGGCTGCGGCTTATCATTCGTGACACTGCGAGGCTGTTTTAACCCATCATTACTCAACATAGAAGAATCAACCACTCCAGAATAATCGCGATCAAACCCGTGATAGCACTTCTGAACAACATGGCCAAATTTTCCACACAACTGACACTGAGGTCAATTAGAGTTATTAAACGACCATGCCCTCTACCAATAAAGTTATCACCTTGTTGATTCCTTGCTGAGTTGAACTGCGACTGGGACGAAACATTGCCAGCAACGGACCTTGAATCTTGGCAATCATTTTTTCCAGAATGAGTTGCGACATTAGCAGAAGCACTCTCACACAGAAATAGTTTCTGTCGAGCTTCAATGTCAAGAAGCATTTCAGTTAGCACATCTAATGACAAAGAATCACGAGAGGCTTTAGTAATGATTGACTCAAATTCCATGGATAACCCATCCAAAAGAACACTAACATGTTCTTGCTCAGTTACTAAACTTCCTGCAGCATTGAGCATGTCACAAATGGATTTTACCTTTGTCAGATATTCACTTACTATCAACCCAGCCTTCCTTTCCGAATGAAGGCTATGTCTAAGAGCAGACACTTTCGCACTAGACCTTGCACCAAACAGTCTTGAGATGGCACTCCAAATGGTGAGCGTGGATGTCAGACCAGTGAGGTGAGGAAGGACCTCTGTACTTACTGTGGTTAAGAGCCAAGACGCCAATAGCTTATCTTGTTGTCTGGAAACCATAAAAGTAGGATTCTCTTTCTCTTGTCCTGATTCATTCACAACAGACTCACTTGGAGCAAAAGCATCACTAGACATGTACTTCAACAACCCATACCCATCATTGATCAACATTACTTGATGTTTCCACAAGAGATAAGTACTCTCAGACAGTTTCACAATATCATGCTTAGGAATGTGTTGAACTGTCAAATTAACCGTAGAGGAGGCCATAGGGAGGATAACAAGCAAGTAAATACACAAGTAGCTGAGTAGAAACACACCTCACCACCTACTTACAATACTTCAAGAATATGCAACTACCTCCAGTGCATTTTGCGACCAGCAAATGTGGCTATTGAGAGAGACAAACCTTCAATGCATCGCGTAAAAAGAAATTCAAGAAATATCGAGCAGCGGATAACAAGGTACTCCAGATTTTGGCAAATTATACCATGTTATCGTTTCGTTATAGCATTGACAGTTACAAGGCAAAGTAAGCTAAGAAGAACGAGAAGAGAATGAGAAGCAAGATTGTAGAACTTGATTCATTTCATAAGATCATGATTCTCTCAATTGTAGAGAGCTACATTTATACATCAGATAAGAGCAATTCTAGAAGCTCTAACAGTTACAACAACCTTAACTAACTCTAACAAATCTAACTATGAGAAGCCAGCTAAGCAAAACAACTTTTTCCAGATTGTACACACTAACAATGAAATTCATTACTTAGACTACAATAAAAAAATTTAAAGACCATTTAAAATTTTCTTAATAACTTATTATACATGCTTCAACACTATGCTCAAACAAACGTTTTGTAGATGTTAGCAATTCAAAGCCAAACGTACTAACCTTAATGAACATTTAAAAACTGCATTACTTCATTTCTAACCCATGCATTATTCTAAATTAATCTCATGCATTATCATCATAGTAAAAATGTTTTTTTCAATGCATTAAAATTACATAAAAACTATTTATCTAATAGTGTGTAATTCCTCTAATTATTTCCATGATTTATAACGCAAATAAACATTCAAAGCTATTTCAATGACATTTCATGGAGCATAAATAGTATAATAACCTTTGAATATTAAGACCGAGAACCAACGTTATTATACCACAACAAATGAAAATAGAACATCAATTACCCTGATTATACTTCAGTTTCCATAAACTTGTATAACACCTTTCTCTCATCATATTTTATTGCAACATTCAACATCAACTCATTGCACTCAAACATGGAAAGGTGACATACTTCTGTTGACAATATGATAGATTTAAGAGATTTTTAAAGTTTTCTCATCAAAGCGCAAACACAAAGAAATAATTTCTTTAACCACATGCTCAACTCAAAGCGACACTTCATGATAGTGTTTCTAAAGCAAACAATTACTTTTGGACATGTGTAAATAAATGAAATTGCCCACTATTTATATGTTAAATAATGAGGGCAAAAACGTCATTTTCAAAGCACA